TAATTATGCGTACGTGAGTGTGTCAGTGCTGCCCCGTGTGAGACTGGAAGGTTCTAGCTAGGCACAGTATCCTGTCAGTCACCTGGCAGGTGTTCAAGACTCTGTTATTGCAGTGCTTTCATATTTCTTAAAAAGCACAGGGTTACACTCTGTCACATTGAAAGAGAAGTAAATAAAGAAAATTGCACTGTATTCTGGAGAGGGGCATCGCCCAGGGGAGGTGAATCAGCTTTGAAACAGATAAACAAACAATTGAAACAGTTACACATAAGCATGCAGATAGCTACTCCCACTGCACAATACTTTAGTCAGTGTTATGTACATCTCCACTGTGTGGGTTGCATGCGAGGTGCGGACGCTTGTTACATAAAAAAATGAACAGCATGCCTGGCTACAGAGGGATGATAAATATTTCAGTAACGGGAAACAGAAGGAGCACGTTTTCGGGGTGCAGTGAGTTATTTTAAAGGCAGTTCAGAGTGTGGAACCCGAGTCTTAAGAATCTGGAAGCAGTAGGTTCATGCAGAATATGAAGGTTCTGGAGCAGAATGGGAATAGATACATGAAAGAAAGCAATACAGATAGAACCCTGACAGTTCACTGATGCTTCACATCTAAGGTCTGGAACAGGTTACATAATGTAATGCAGAACTCAGCTTTTCATTCATTGTGCAACATCTTTGTGATGCTGTAAGTGTGTAACATTTCATATTTATCAGGGGTCAACAGCAATCTCAGATTCAGCTCATGAAGAGCCTGACCTTAAAACTAATCATATGCCACCAAAAGGAAGTGTGAGTTATGCATCTATTTGCCTTGACTCTGCCTCTGCGTTGCACACTAGCCCAGCACCGTGAGACTCGACTTGTATCTTTAACATGGGCCATGCAGCTCAATGAAGAGCAGGTGAATTACCTTCACCCTTGCAGGGCAGATGGTGTAATTAAAATCTGCAAGGTCAGGGTAATGAGGTGGGTTACTGGAGATTCATTCCCTCCTCCCATTACCTCAGGCCTTGAAGTCAGAAACATACAGTAGCCACGGTAGCAAAATATCAAACTAGCCTTGTGGACCGCAGACTACAGCAGCTTGGGAGGTGCATACAGCTTAGAACAAATGTGATGGGTTCTGTGCATCACACACTATGTGTAATGGCATACTAGAAAATACCTACAGTATTGTGACCTGAAAGGACTCTGAAATACAGCATAATAAGATAAGATACATTTTGCAGGTACAGTAAGAGCATTCATCTTAAGATCATTTGGCTCTAGTTCTTGTATGGATCTTGCATGATTCTAAGGTTGGCCTAGGGCATTTACTCCATAAATGTGCTTTAAGAGTAATACAATGGGGCCATTTTAGAAGATGCACTATGAGTTCAAGCTGTATTACAGGAGAGACCCCCTCTCCCCTCATGCCCTGTACACCATTCAGCCATTCTCTGCCATGCTGTTGAACGTGAAACCATAGAGAAAATGAACTCATAGAAGAAGTTCCAGCTTGTTTCTGTATAGGTCAAGGCCCTGCTTTCCCTGCAGGAGAAATGAATTGACTCAGCTAGTTTCTGTCGTTTGTGATTTATGACAGAGGGTTCATGGGTTAAGTGCCTCTATGTAGGACACAAAGCCAGTTGTGTCTGTCTCAGCATCCGTCTTCTCTGGACTCTGTACCTCCCCCCTCCTACTACTCTTACCCAGTGCCTTCAGTTGCTCTGGGACATTTAATTCTGACAATTAATTCTGCCCTTAGCATCTGATCAGTTTCCATAAGCCCCTGGGCAAGAGGCCAGACAGGCTGTGGCACTGGAATGCACTCTCTAGTTCCAGATGTCTGCCACTGGATGACTCAATCTGCCGATATCTCCTGCTGTATTGATGACTGGCCCAGCTGTGCCTTAGACCGATAAGGCCTCTTGAGCCGGGCTCTCTTTGTTACTGTAAGCAACATTACAGGGACTCTGCACACTATTGCGTTGTGATATGTAGTGCAGGATATTTGTCAATCACAACTGTAAGTTTGAAAGGGATAGCAATAGTTTTAATTCAAATATCATTAGCAGTGAAACAGCTAAAACTACAACAAGAAATAAATAATAAGATATTAATAGTAATTACTGTGCATTTGGATGCATTGATCTCTTGTTCTGTGGCGTAGTCTACTCTAAAAGAGCATCGCAGTGCTGTCCATTTTGGGCCTGATCAATGTGTGCTTAATTATTTGGAACCTGGGGGAGGCATGAACTGGCATGTTGAGCGAAGAAAGTAAAAGCCATGTGGATCGATAGGATTGATCCAGCACCACGGGATCTGACTGTTCTCCGAGTCCTCTCCAAAAGAGAGTGAATTACTCGGGACTAAAAAGCCGTAAAGATTCCCTTCTGCCGTTAAAGAAAAGAAAAACGTATATTGGTTTTCAGATTTCTGGTTTAAAAATAGCCCCGCCTGAACGAACACCCAAACAAGGGTGATATTTGAATACAGGGCCGCTTTAACTGGTCACAAAAGACCTTGACTCATTTACAGCCACACGACCTTGGTGTCTTAACCAGACTGGAGTCCTCAGAGGAAAGTCAAGTTGCTGCTTGAATAGTAGTGACTGAGGACAGTTTTAGGAGGTTCCATCTTTGGAAGAGAGATTAAACCAAGATCCTAAATACTTAAGGTCATAGAAAGATTCAATATTTGTAAGAGTAGAGGTGCTGAGGGCTGGTATCCAAGCTAAATTCTATTTCAGACATGTTTAGTCTAGTCTCCCTCAATTTCTCCACTGTTTATTTGGTGAAATAACTTCTGCAGCTCGTTCACCGTGTGGTTCAGCCACAGGCGCAGAATGACTGCGACAGATCACCCAGGTGGGAGCTGCTCTCGATGGGTGGATGAGTCCCCTCCTACACTCAAAGCACTTTGGGATCCTTATGGATGAGAAGCCCAACACAAAAAGCAAGGAATTATGATTATATAAACAAATTAGAACATTTTTCCAGCTGAAAACAGCTCTTAGCATCACTGGGAGTACAGAGAAAATATAGAGTAGCAGCAGCTGCAAAACTTGCATAATGGCTTCAATTAACAAAAAAAAGTAATTAAGTCACAGTTAGCCTGTCTGGAAAACAGCAGCAGTTTACGGGGAAGAAATACAAAACAGAACAGGGCTTTCATAATAAGCACAACTTCCAAACCATTTACTGCTTAGATGTTTGGTTTGCATTGGTTTTATGAAACAAGGTTAAGTACCAATTAACCAATCAAGGGAGCTGTTTGTGGTACAGAATGGCGTGAAAGAGGTTTGATGATACCTCCTGAAACAGAAACGTTAAGCTGATTATAAAATCCGCAGTACTACTCACAAGGCTTTTTCCTTCACAACGAACATGTTTGTTCAGCTTTTTGGAAAATAATCCCATAAAAGTGAAAAATTCCTGAGGAAGGGTCTGGTGAAGTTCGTAATGTGTTGTATTATGATAGAGTCAGCTAAGCCTTGCAATATGTTCCAGTATGTAAAAAACTCTCCAGGTAGACTTCTAACTCTCACTAGACCCTGACAGTATATCTCAATTAAGTCTCTGCAGACTAGTTGCCTATAAAGTCACATATTCAATACAAGATCTAGTTACTGACTTTTAAGGCTCTAAAAAATCTGGCTCCTTCCTACACCTCTGAGCTCCTCCATGTTTACACTCCTTCTTGTAGGCTCCAGTCAGCTGAGGCTGGTCCTGTGCTCACCGTCCACGGGACTAACTCTTGGACATTTGGTGACCGTGCCTGTCCTGTCACTGTTCCAGTGTTTTGGAATGACCTTACTTGCACTCTTAAAGACCAAACATCTTTAGGTAATTAGGTCCCCTTTTCAGGCTATAAAGGCCCATGGGGGAACAGGGGGCAACGGGGCACCATTTTTCTTGACCATCCGACACTGGAGGTGGAGGTGATGTGGTCAGCATCACGCTCCGGCCGGCCTGTTCCCCCCGGAAGGATCCCCTACCTGGGATTGAACCCGGGACCTTCCAGTCAGGAGCTAGGCACCCTTGCCATCTGAGCTACCACAGCCCCACAACATCTTTAACTCTCTTCAAATCCAAACTCAAAACTCACCTTTTTACCAAGGTGTACGTCTGATTGCCCACATCTGTAAAGACCTGAATGCTCTTGTTTATTTTTTTCTTCATTCACTTTTTATTGTACTTTTTTCTTTCTTCACAATCTACAGCATCCTTGGGTTTGGAAAGGCACTTTATAAGTAAAAAGGTATTATTCTTATCTTCAAAAAAATAAGCATCAAATTTCGGAGGGTGGGAGCATTGGAGATTTGAAATGGCCAGAAAAGTGGACGTTCACATCTCTTATTTCTCACAGATGCTATCATTTAGCATGTCCGCTGCTGTCCACTCAATCTGGACACTGACCTTCACAGTGACATTGACAAAGAGCTCTTCTGAATCGTTTAGTCATTCTGAAAAACTCGGAAGATTCCTGCTGCAGATGTGCTTCAGTCTGCATCGGGGTCGGTCTGCATTTTCTTTTGTCTTTGGCATTGTGCCTCAGACAGCCTTTACTGACCATTAGACGGTAACGACTTCAGGTTCAACATCATCATTTAGAATCCTCTTTAATACCAGTGAGACTGTAATTCGCAAAGCAGCGAACACTTGAGCATGTCCATGAGGAGGTACAAGAGATAGAGAAGTTGATATCCAATTAATACCAAGAGTAATACGGTATGATGCAATGTGATATGATAATACTTCACTGTGGGATTTTTTCGGAAATTAGTTTGGCTTCCAAGCAGCTATGTTTTGCGCACACGGAGACTGACAAAAAAAACATGGAGCCAGTACAAATAAACAGAGCAATAAAAATAAATGTCTTTTCTGTTATGCTATATCAACCCATACATAGATTTAAGCCCGATCCAGACTCTTTAACAGGTCACGCGCGCCACAGGAAGTCCCCTCAGCAGACAGCTCATGCCTCGCTCTGCCTCGTCTCGTTTCTCTCCAGAAGGCCCCCAGATGAACAACGTTGGCCCCGGCTCACCCCTCCTGCCCACCACGTCTCAGCCCCACTACCCGACCCTGGGCCAGATGTCCCACGCCTACGAGCAGCCCCAGGCCTACAAGGAGCTCAACAAGTACGCCTCCCTCAAGGCCGTGGGTAAGGACCCGCCGCTCCCAGACTCCCCCCCCAGTGTCCCCGGCCGGGCTGGGGATCAGTCCAGCCCCGTCCGCCACCGAAACGCCCTCCAACGCAGGCTCACACCTTCAGGAGCCACGTTGTCACTGTTGTCGAGCAAAAGGGTTTTTATCTCACTGCCTCTCCCATGGCTACCCCTGCGACCCCTAACTATAAAGACTGTCCACATCTCTGTGTCATGAATCTTTGCTGAACTCCGAGCTCATTTTAAAATCTAATTTGATATTAGAATGTAATGTCCATCGAGAGTTTGGTCATTTCCACAGAGAAAGATGACAAAATGATTAACTGAGCAAAACCCAAAGACTTTTAGAGGTCCTCCCATTTGTCTGATACAAATGAACTTAAGAGGAATGCCACCATTTGTGGTATTTTAACTTCATGCAGTAAGCACATTCACTCTCATTGTTTTGCTGTGTGTGATAAAGGCTTATCCTCCACTAACACACACGCGACAATCCTAAAGAAAGCGCATCGAGGAATTCGGGAAACCAAAACAAGTGGAAAATGACCCCAGTCTCCCAGAGAGCTGGAGTGAGCTGGTGTTATTTACTCCTGAGTTCCTGGTCTAATTGCCTTCTGCTCCGCAATCCCGGTGAGGCTGAATTCTGGGAACGGATCAGTCGCCGCTCTCACAAATCAATATGCTCTTCCCCGTGCCCTAGCGCCTCTCGAAGGTCACAGTATTAGATTTCTACCAGGCTCCGAGCAGCAGAGACTGGTAGCTCATAAAAAAGGGTAGCTGGGTCTTCAGCCTAAAGATGTTTGACCTTCCCACCTTGTTTCACATCTACCTGGGGCCAATTATATTTAATGTCAAGCATCGCCTTCGGTCAATTCAGCTCTTACGACTTGGGCATTACATCGCTGCTTATTCACCACCTGCAGTCAACTTTCACTGAACTTTCAGAGCCATTGCATCTTCATTGTCCTTACACTTCTGTAAGACAGCAATTCCATGGTCAAGTTGTTAGCAAAACCTTCACATTTCACAGTGTTGTATCCATGTTGTTTTCTTGCTGGCCTATGGTGTGGCGTGACATGATGGCTCACGATATTACTAAGAGAAGAAAGGGTGTTATCGTATGGACCCCGTCGCTTTTAAAGCCGGTGAAGACCGAGTCCCCCTTTAAGAATTCACGAGAGACAAACCAACATGGAGAATTTTTTTTTTCCCCCAAGAAAATCGGAACGACGATTGTCTCCTTACCCAACTAATGCAGAATCGTCAGCTGCATGAGGCCCCCTCTGTGGCTCTGACCTCTGTACTACTAGACAAAAGGAATGAGGATCTGCAAAGACTCTCCCACAGCAAGCCCAACTGTCAGAGCCTCATGTAAGAAGCTCCACTTATTCTGCAGATACCCACCAGTATAATACCCCGCAGTGGAATCACCGATTGTGTTTTATACATCTCGGCTTACAGCTACGAACCCTGTGACCACACACAGGGGAGAATGAGAAATTGTGGGCAGACTTCTCTGACCTGCCCGCCCTCGACCCCCTTCGTCTTTTAACACCTCCCCGGCGTTACAGTGCTGACTGGAGGAGAGAAGTGTGAATTGGGGATGGGGGGATTCGAGCTCCATCGCTAGGGGAACATCCGTCACAGTCGGCTGGTGGCAAAACCACGATGGCCGAGCTCAACCGGCCCTCAGAGAGACACCTTTGCTGGAGGAGCCCCTCGAGAGGCTGCGAGCGCCACCCTGCCCTGCAAGAGAGCTGATGCCAGCTGGAGAAGGGGTGCAGTGTGGTCACTGGCCCACAAGCCTCAGGATTAGCTAGACATCTGTGCATCGATACTTGTTGAGCCCCCCGGGAATCCCTCCCTCCCTGTCAAGATATTAAACTGATATGAAATTGCTAGAGCCACTTTTCCACCAACAACGGGAAAGGATAATGAAAAATGGGTTGCAAGTGCTTGCTACCAACTCCCATGAGCAAGCCTTGAAAGCAATAATTGCTGTTTGCACAACAGGCTGACATTCATAGAAGAAAATAGTACCAAATTAAACACCCTAAGTGGGTAGCTTCTTAGATGGACTCACCTGTGCAAGACTGTCCACTTAAACTGAATGGCTATAAGCAGGACGATAGTCACACTCAGCGTGGCCTTCAGAACTCAATCTCTCTTGAACACACGTCAGAGCAGGGCAGTGATGTGCAGAATCAGCCTTCATTTAAGAAGGTGAACTCTGAGAGCATGTCAACTCAGAACTTTTGAGTGAGCTTCTAAACAATAGGAGAGTCACATTGATGTTCCCAATGTTTGGGATTCACAGTTAAAAGCTCTCTTGCCACATGGTGTAGGTAGATCACTTAATTTTCTTTACCACTCGACCACCCAAAGCAAACTAAACTGATACTACAAATCCTCAAAAAAAAACAATTTCCTACAAACTCAGGCAGGATCCTTTGAGCTTCCACAAGAATCATTTAGTCTGACTTCAAAGTCAACCTCGTAATAAGCCTGCAGTCAGCTGACAGCTGTCAACAAGCGCTCAAGCTTTCAAAAGAAGCTGTACGGCGAGATGTTAGAACTCAATAAGATGTTAGAATCCAGCTGAAAGCATTCAGCTTCTAAACCACTGTAGAGCTGTTCGACTGATAGATAATTAGGGAAACAAAGACAAGAAAAATTCCTTCAAACGAGATCACTCTCTGAAGACTGTAACAGAGACATCAGCCCTGAAAGTCAAACAAACTCTTTTGTAATGGGTTGCCGGGGAAGATTAAGGTACAAGTTCTTAAATACTGTGCTTTGAGTGTCAGGATACATATTTTCTAGGACCATCTGGAGCCCGGGAATATATCAGTAGATCCCAATGCTATGTGCCGAACTGCAGTTCCCCCACCCCACCTCTAAAAAAGTTAGAATAGAAGGCTGACAAGGAAAAGCTTTCCTTTTTGGAATTGAAACTCCTGCCACTGTTTTACATTAAGGACATGGAGACAGAAGTTGCTTGTCATCTCTCGTCTGCGTATTTATTTTAAATGCATTTAAAAAACGGTAGCATTTTCCATCACGTGAGAAAATGCTTCTAAAGAGAGCAAGGAGTAATGTGTAAAAGTACCCGTCATGTTTTCAGTTTACTGCAGTGACAGATACCCGGGCAGCTAAGACAATATTTGCTTGAAATGGACACACAGGCCTGCTGTCACAATTAACCAGAACTAATTAAGACAACCAGATGGTCACCAAGAGGAACCCAGGCTGGCCTGATCATTGCCTAATCCTCTTCTCCTTCCCTGGAGACTACCAGAACCAGAATTGCCTCTGGGCCCAGGACAGACCCAGAGCTGGGATGAATACAGGAACAGAGCCGAGGAAGGAGAAGACACAGGTGTCTTTGGGAAGCAGCACTGCCCCGTTGGCACGTGAGTGGAGAAACAAACACACATCCAGGAAAACACACACTTTACCAAGTGGAGGGAGGCTGGCATCTATCATCCCAAATCCTCATTAAAAGGGAAGACAAGCCCTCCAGCGATTCTAATGAGTTGTTTACCAGCAGTCAGATGTGTGTATGTTTCCCAGGGATTGTAGTAATGTAAATAATAACAAGAAAACAAAATGGCAAAAACAACACCCAGCAGTACTTGGACGATTATAAATAATTCAAGTGACCACCACTGGACTGTACCGTCTTGGATGCTCAAATGCTCAAATTTCTCAGAACAATTGCATGCAATCTATAGTTGCACACTGAAAGCTTTTCTGCTCTGGCAAAACTGTTTTCATTTGCCATTCACCTACAGCACCTGTGCATTAATATTGGGCTGGATGGCTTGCATGGACTCGCAGTCACTGTTTGGCGTGCCCGTGTCCTCAGAGGGGTCTTACACCGTTCAAACAAGAAGAGGAATATTGAACTTCCTCTGTACCGGACACGTGCTGGAGTTTTTAACTTGGGTAGAAAAAAGAAGGCGACGCCACTAGCAAAAAGCCGCCGGCGCCAGCAGAGAAATCACAGCACCCCCACAGAGCAGAAACCCCTGCAGATCAGCTCATCAGCGCTGGAGCTGTTAACCTGGGCTAAACACCCCTCGCTTACCACTCAAGCAGCAGAGACACACAAACAATCAAATTGGCTGAGCCACTGAGGAAGGCCTCATTAAAATCCCTTATTAAAAATGACTGTTGGGGAATTAAAACACAGGAAATGAAAAGGCAACAAATTGATGTTTCAATTAAGGGCACGATGGAGCAGGGCGATGCACCTGGTAAGAATTCAGGCTTCACGCCATTTAACTGTGATGGAGGTCTGGGGAGGGGGTGCAAATGTCTCTTCTTCTCCAGAAATGCGGTGCTTCTCTCCTGCAGCTGCAGTTATCGTTTATCCCTTACTTTCGCAACCAGACAGAAGTGCAGGTGAAACTGCACTTTGATGTACAGTAATAGAGCCTCTGCTTATGAATGCTTCCTGCGATATACCGTAATTAACACAGTGGTTCACCTGTGGTTTCACCACGCCTGCCATCCATCCGGCTCAATCCACCATACCTTTGCTCACCTTTCCTCTCTCTCTTTCCATTTACTATGGTAATTTTTACTTTACTATGCCTGTACCGTGATTTACTGTAGTAAACTTTTAGAATTACATCTAGGCAGAATAATACTTACAACAGGGGCTCACTAGGTAACATCTGCTTATGTAGACTACATCTAGAATTAAGGACTATGGATTGTTTTTCAACGGTTATTAAATGTTGCCAGCGTTTATTCTTTCTAAGATGTAATTTTCTTGTTTTGAGAAGTACAGTATATACGACGTGTTGCTCAAGACGTGAAAGATGTCTGCTCTTTCATGCTTATTACTGCCAGAATATATCTGTAATTGCAAAAGAAGCTCATGTCTGCTGCTTAGACTGTCTTGGATAAGAGTATAGTTATATAACATTCAAGATCACAGCTTTTCATTAGAGCTGTTATCGGCGTAGACCTCATTCCAATATCAAGTACAGTTTCAGTCTTTTCTTGTTGTGAGCATTAAAGCATTTCCCTGTATCCAGGACCATTTGCGTTTAATGTGTTATTGTGAAACATTAACAGTTGCAAGTGTCGTCCTAATTAAAATACGGGATGTCTCTGTGCATGCCACATTCGCCGCTGAGGAAGAACAGAAAAGAATCTTGCCGAATCTCTTCCGTTGTGAACACTGCAGATGGCAAGTCAAGTTTTCAAAATCCTCAAAGATACTTCCAAAGTCGGCCCCAGTCACTGCCAGCCCATCAGTGACACACTGAGATAGGATCGCAGGTGGAAAATAAGAGGCAATTAAGAAGGCACTTTCTTTGTGCACGGGGTTATGAGGCTGGGGAACAGACTGCCAGGACAGGCTGTTGAAGCTGATACTCTGGGATTCTTCCCAGAGCGGCCGAATGAGATTTTGGGATCAATTAGCTTCTGGCAGTGAAAGGAGCAGGACATGACCTCTGCCATGTTCGTTCTGCAGCCAAAGTGCACACGAAAGAGTCTGTCCACTCTTCCTGTGCTCCTGCCCTTGTCAGTGAAGCCGAGGAGAAATGGGAAACAACTTAAAAGAACAACCAACTTCATTCTTGTTAAGTAACCTGCATTCCTCATTGGCAGAGTTGGGAGTGCAGTCCGTGGAAATCTGCAATCCGGGATTACGCGTGCCATATGCCTCTGCCACGTCACAGTGAGAGGCAGACAGAAAAAGGCACGCGGAGAATGTTTTTTTTTTAAAATCACTTCGCACGGATATATTTATATCTCCCATCTCTATTTCTAGGCCTGCCTGTCTGTTTGTTGCGTCTGCTAGTTTTTTTGACTCATTTCTCTCTGCATATTTCCTCATCTCGGGAGGTCGGGATGAAAGCGCCGCTCTTGCACGGCTACGCGTGTCACGAGAGGGCAGGCCGGCGCTCCCTCAGCAGGGCACAGAGCAGCAGGGGTCAGTGTAGACGAGGCAGCCCTTCCCCATACTGATCCTGAGCCAGAAACGCAGAGGAGAGGAGCGTGTGGGTGAGGGGAGCGTGAATCAGAGACTCCGCACTCACGGCAGCCCCCACAGCACTGAGCCACGCTTGTGTGGGAAAGGAACAGAAGGGGAAAGGATTTCGGCATAGCTGTGTAGACAGCGATCCCTGCTCACACAGCAGGGCAGAAACAACGGCCATCTTTGGCCACTGAGCTGGCGTGTGTAATAATAAGGAGTGGAGACGAGGTGGGAGTTTCTTAACGTTCGGTATTGGAAACGAAAGTTTCCGGCCGAAGGCACACTTTCGCAGCACCATCTAATCTAAACAAAGGAAGGGTTAGAAAAGAAGATTATAAGAAACGATGATGTTTATACTAAGTATAAAAGTTATATATAAGTAATAAAGTTTCATTAAGCTTTCCTTAATGAAAATAGTGTCGTGTGCCTCCATTAGTATTCACAAGAGATTTGTCATCTCTCTTGCCGGGAAGGCGCCGATGTGCTCCTCAGTCGCCCACACCTTACTTCCAGCCCTGCCTTGGCAGAGTCACCCTGCTTCGGCTGTCAGAGGGTTGCTTTCACCCCCCAGGCCTGTCTGAATCACCTTAGCACGGCTACACAGCAGCTCAGCTGCATGGCAGTGGTGTGAATCAGTCAGGCGTTGACCGAGGGAAACATCCGAGACCACAAAGCAGGCCTACTTGGCCTCTTGCCCTGGGAAAATCCTATTCCTCCAACCCCAGCAGCCTCCAAGTTTCTCATGCAAGTTAAAAAGGTCTCCAGACTCAGCGTACAATAAGACAAACCCTTCACCAATCAAGCTTTACATCAAATTGGACAAGTCATGCAATGATCACTCTTCATGCTGGGAAAAGTGGTTCTGGTATCACTCAAACCACGAGCAATGGCCATTTCCTGTCCGCTAACCCCTGTGATCTTTCTGTCCCCCTCCTCGCCCTGTCTGCCCCCCTGCACGTGTCTGTCTCCGGGCCGCCAGCGGAGAAGGCGAACGACGACTTCTACTCCAAGAGGCGGCACCTGGCCGAGCTGGCGGCGAAGGGCAGCCTCCCCCTGCACCCGGTGCGCATGGACCACGAGCCCAGCCTGCCCTTCAGCCCCGAGGTGACCTTCAGCAAGCAGAACGGCCACAAGTCCAAAACCAACAAGACGCACACGCACCCGCTGGTCTACGGCTCCAACACCATCGCCAACCCGGGGGCCCTGAAGGGCTGGGGCGACACGGAGACGATGGGCCGCCGGCAGATCTACGGCCCCAAGAAGCCCTGCATGGTGGAGCAGGTCAACGAGCTGCAGAGCGCACGCAGCCAGCACTACCTGCCCCCGCAGCCTTACTTTGTCACCAACAGCAAGACGGAGGTGACAGTGTGAGAGCGCCCCCCCCCCCCCACACACACCCACCCACTCCCCGCGGCCCAGCAGTGAGAGCACGAGAGTGGGCGAGCGAGATGGACGCACGAGGGGGTACGATGGAGCGGGGGGGGGTGGGGGGTTCGGGGGGCGACACTTTTTTCGCGGCTGTGGCTTTGCCAAGCGGCTGGCCAGGGGCGTGGCGCGGGGGACCCCAGCAGCGCAGCCTGCAGACGCGTGCGTCTTCGCTTCGCGTGTGAGTGTCCGCCTGCGGCAGACGTGCACGGGACTCGCTCGGCGCTGGGGGAGCGGGAGGGTCGGGGAGAGGTATCGGGGGGAGAGCACAGTCATTTTAAGCAGACATCAAATAACACACAGCTAATAAGGATAGTCATCGTCGTCGACATAATAATAGCAATGATTAACAACGTGAACCATAACTGGAAACACAAGAAGACGGACGGTCATGGATGGATGAACCAAAATACACAAGCAATACATAGGTGGTTAACTAAAGACAGCGACAGCACTTGACTCACGGCAGTTTGAGGGATATTGTCTATAAGCAAACTGCAGTACCTAAATCCACAACTGTGATGCACGAGGAGCTCGTGACAAACCGCAGCGAGGGGCACGAGGGGAAGGGCTCCGCACGAAGACCCCTCAGCAGCTCTCTTCTCCGCGGAGGCCTTGGAAACCTGGGCTTCAGAGCCGCCTTCGCTTCCTGCCTTGTGTCACGGCCAGGGAGCGGGCTAGACGGGCTCTTCCCAGGCCTGGAGCAGAGGGAGGGTCACGAGGAGAGGGGGGGGGGCACGCTCTGGAGCTTTGCATCGGCGGGGGCACGCGCGGAACCCGAGAGACGCTCTCTTCTCGGGACTCTGGGAACGGCACTGCGGGAGCTGCCTGCCAGTCGCCTGAGCAGATGGGATCCTTCGGACCTGTTTCTATGACGCTGGGAGGTGCCTTTCTTGTATTTTTAAAGAGTTTACAGTTAACTTCCGTCTAAGAGCTGAACTCTACAGGCTATCGATGTCTTGTACGGATACAGAAAAAAAAAAAACACAAAAAAAACACAAAAACAAAAAAAAAAACTTCAGCCATTGCAGTTTATGGTATGACGTACTTGCTGTTGATTTGTAAACTTTAACTTTCCTTTCTTTCAGTTGGTAAATCTTTCTGTCCATCGGCTGTGTTAACACACAGGAACAAGAAAGAGAGAATGCAGGACAGACCTGGGCTTGATTTTTAATTTTGGACCCAGGTGCCACTGCTTACAGCTCGAGTTTTGTCATGGCTTCCCACAGATCCACCCAGTGCTGTGAACCAAGGGACTCCTGTCTGGTGTGTAAATTCTTCCAGGCTGTGTTCACAAGGCTTCTGTTGCTGGCGTGGTTCCCAGGCAAAGAAACACAGAGTGAACTCACATAAGTCTGCTTTATTAAAAGTACAGCAAGCTGAAAGCATTGAGAAAAAACTAAAGCAGGTAAGTCCAAAAAAAGAATCGGAAGATGGCGAGTCTTCAAATGCACAGCACTGGTAAGGGATAAATCCTAGATGTACTGTGCCATGATACAATTTCATTAAGCACTGAGACAGTGAGCCCAATACCCCTCCAGTGACACACTGCCAGGAAGGCAGGTATAAAAGAATGAACCTGGTCCTATGAAATATTGGTCCCATATATATATTTCCAAAAATGCCTGAGCTTTTTTAACCAGAACTGCTGTAAATTGCAATCTAGAAACCTGGTGACTCCAGATCTTCATCATTTGGCAAGGGGTTAGGTGATTGGCCTAGAATGAAATTCTGGGAGGAGGGATTCTAATATGGAGGCGATCAGTCCTAACCCCACAGATGGAAGCTTCACTCTGCTGGCTCCACAGCCAAGAGCAGAAACCATGTCTGAACCTGCGGTTCCTCTTGTGCCGAACTGGATTACTAGTGCAACAACAGCTGTATGCACGATTGTTCTATTCATCAAGCGCTGCGGTCATCATCAGTAGAGAAAAAAACGGCTCACGTTCCCCGTTAGTGGGTGAACATTGCAGTGCTTAGTGAAATCCTCTGTGCAGAAATACAGTATATCAAGTATTAATGCACAGCTTGAGGCTCCAGGATATTTTTTTTAGGGGGGGGGGGGTCTTTAAAATACAGGGGGGCTATGGCAACATCTCCGCAGTCAAACACATAACCGGCACTGGCCAAATCAATGCAAAAGGCAGGGTTTTTGTTTTGTCTAGCTAAGCTCTGTTAACTGAAGAGCTTGGGTACTGGTGCTCCAGTCAAAAAAGAATCGCAGCTTACTTTGGAGATACTGGAAGGCATCAAGTGTTTATTCAACAGACTTGAGTGACTTCTAACAAGCTCCTGCTCCCCATGTCCCCTCCGTCTTTCTCAATGTGGCCTAATTTGAAGCTGTAAAAGGCAGCAATTTACAGCTCATTCAGGGGGAAGCATGGAAACCGTTTGATTTCTAGATGAGGGTCATGTGTTTGTAGGCTGTGACAATAGCATCTGCATTCATGAACCAGAAAAGCCAATGTAGCTGCCAAGTGTTTGAAATAAGATGTCAGAGATGTTGAGGCTGTTTCTGAAAACACAAAATCTGTTTGGGTTTGATCCATGCTTTCATAACAAAGACATGCAAGCTTCTTTTGTGGTCTAATCAATAAAGCAATTTAAATGATCACACTGTAATTGAAGAAAATAAATGAAATCTTCATGGAAACAAGAAAAACAGCATTCCGTTAAGTAAGAGGGCCAGGAAAATGTACAATATGAGGGAAACCAAATCTGAAATTTTCAGCACCCAACTGTTCACCATCATGGCCCAGAATTGCACCCTTGTAATGCAAAATTCTGTTCATTGTCAGCACAGGATGTACTGTAGGTTTTACTGGCACGGTGTGAAAACCAGCTCCCTCTCATTGATTTCTTGTTTGTTAGTTTGAAATTAGGTGGAAACATGGAATTATTTCTTAATGAGAAAATCTATTTTTTGCTAGATAATTTACAGCACCAAATTCAACTTGTATCACCACAGGCTTTTCTCACACCCTCTGAGCAAACCTGCTGCAATCCTGAATGAATGTACTACATCCAGAAGAGGACAGATCAGACGTCACCAAGTTCAATCCCTTTCTCCTGCAGTCTTAGTGACGAACCGCGACACACCGATTTGTCATCAGACTCTTTATCACACCTTCTCAAATTTCTCTCAACTCCTTGAAACTCCTTGTCTTTCAAAAATGTACATTTTTTAAATTGAAATCAGGAACAGAGAGAGAGAGAAAGCAGTTCTGAAGGACTTGCTTTGAAAGAGAAATAGATGAAAAAATCAGTTCAGAAAATTCTAGGACATAGAAAAAAAAACACAATATGAAGTGGCCTTGTGATGCAGTTCACTACATTTTTAAGTTCCACTTTCATCAGTGCAGTAGTATTGAAAGAACCCCACAGGTTATCTGCACTCATTGGTCATCACACTTGTATTTCGAATGTGCATCACAGTCCCCACCACTGTTGGGCTCGGGATAAATTATTCAAACTAGGCACTGCAAAAGAAAAGAAAGGTTCCACCCTCTGCAGAAGGAGACATTGTTGCTTTGTGCTCACTCACAGGGCTCAGTGGGAACCTTCTTCCCAGTCCAAAGATAGAGAGCAATATTATCTTGCCAGCTGGGTATTTAAACACAATCACAATGGCAACAAGGAGAAGGAAGCTGGAGACCAGTTTTCCTGTTCCATTGGCAATCAGTTTTCATTGGTGTCGCTGTCTAGGTTGAGTTTGCAGTATTTTTAAAATGTTTCAAAAGACGCTGCAGATGGGGACACAGAAGGCAATGGCTAATACGTTGCTTTAAAGAATCAGAAATCACAGGACCGCCCTTCCATTACAGAAGAATGTATTTCCATAGCAGGAAGAGAACGCATGTTTCAATGGTCAGGTTATGATGTCAGCTGGCAACATTTAAAGCCATTTTGATAGTCATTGGACTGCTGATGTGTTGACAGTGGCCCATCAGCGCCCATCAATTCCTCTTCAGTCTGTGGCGGGCAGGCTCCTGGGCCAGAGGAAAGAACACTGGTACTTGGAAATTTGCAGGGCAAGTACTGGAGGGGTTGCTTCAACAAGCTAGCCTTAGCTGGCCTCCATGCTGTGCAGCCAATAGCTCTACAGCTTTCTCAGTCCCTGTCTGTAAACCTGTCCTCTTCATGTGCCCGATTGTTGTCTTGCAGAAGGCATTCTCCCTTTTTAAAACGTTGTGCTTTGGGGATTAAGCTTTCATGAGGCAGCCTTTTCGATTTTACTTACAGGCCACATAAAGTGGACCGGTCAGGGTTGAGGGGTGAGGAGCCGCAGGTTCGAACGGAAAGGGCAACAGATGAAATATCCCACAGCACACAAAGCAGACGTTGGAGCACATTTCAGCCACACGTTTCCACACACATGCACACCTGCCCTGCGAAGCCCCATATATCTTCACCTCACACCACCATGTGCTTGAGGTGAGGTGTGTGTTGAGTGTCAAGTTTGTGCGAGGCAAAAGGACGTATAACACAGGAAAGGATAAAGAGGGAATGTGGACCTCTGAGCAAACTGCTAAAACAATTTGAAGGCAAAAGAGAAAAAGAACAGAATCCAGCATCGATTTACAGCTGTAACTCTCAACTACAAGACTCTTTAGTAACAAACACTGTTACCCATCTCTTTAGACAAAGTTAGCCACTTTTTATCAGAAGCTTTCCAAATGTAGGGGTGTGAGTCTTCTGATTGAGGACTCATATCCCTTGCACGTAATTGCAAGTCTGCAGGCTAATCCAAATTCTTTGCTGGCTCTTGTTCACTGTAGAACAGGTGGCTGGAATCAGACAGCAGATGAGCAGCCCTATTTCGGAGGCAGGGCAGTGAAAGATGCCAAAGTTCTGCTCCGCCGAAGAGAGAGAGAGCTAGATTGTGACTGAAGGAGCTTGTGCTCTAATTAGAAAAATCAAGTCCCCCACCCCCCCCAGCCCCATCAGTGATCTGTAATGAAAGAGAACTGAAAAAAAACAGCAGAAGTTTGGATCGTTTTCCATCAGCAATCTTGAGCATTGTGTATGTTTGTAATTTATAGTTCATTCCATTGACTTCACCAGGCGAGTGTAGAAGACCATGTATGCATTACTGTCTACAATGGTCTCGCACCTAAATCAGGCGGTTTGGTTTGCTGATAAATGCAGTGCTGAATGATGAGCTCATATTTTAAATATAGTAACTTTTATGTAATTTAAGTCATCTTTCCTGCCAAAGGCAGAGGAAAACTGTGTAAAAAAAAAAAGAAAAGTGTTTTGATATACCGTATCTATTAATAACATCTGTTATTTCCATTCAGAATCTTCAAAGGCAATCAACACAGAATACAAGTTGAGGACCAGTGCAAAGTGTATTTAAATCAATGCTCCTTTTTGGACATTAAAGCATTCTACCAACTCTTCCTGCAAAAGAGAGCTCTGATCTGGACACTAGAGCCTATAGCTGAGGCTCCTAAATCCTCCGGTAGGCAGGGGTTTATACTTTAATAGCCCTGGCAATGACATTGTGATTAGCAGAAGCTGGCCTGCTCTGTGGAAGAACGTCACTGGATCTGTGGCACACACTTGTACCATGTAATGAGAGCTAATCTGCTTGTCCAAACTGTTAGTTTAATGTCCATGTCAGCTCAATTAACAGGGGGGTGCTGGGTCTTTCTTCCTCATGAGCCCCACAGATTCTCAATCAATTTCTCATTTGGCCCAGATGGTTTTATTAAGAAAAGAGTAGGCTGACCTTTAAATGGAAATTGTTTTTGCCTCCTTTGCCCTTATCTATCATTACTGCCACGGCATCTGTCCCCCAGCCAGGGAGCTCCACTGAGGAGAATGCCGCAGCCCACTGTGTAACCATTTGCTGTCGTTAGCAAGACGCGGGCCTCAAATACAGCTGTCTCCCAGCGGCTTGCTTCTCCTCTCCTGGCCACATGCACGCTTAAAGCACCCGCAGAGAACCCTAATCATGGGGTTTGCTTATCCTTTACATTTGGGGGGGGGGGGGGGTGGTGTCCCCAAGATTTCCGTCAGAGTCGATGCAGATGTGCAGTTGTTCCCTAATGCCCCTCAAACGCACTGCCACAGCCTTTCCTCAAATCTGATACTGTATGTCCCAGCCATGGAGTCCCCCAAAAATACTGATTAACCTGGATAAGAGGACTCTGCCTAGTGGTCTCTGAAGATAAACCTCTTCTTGCTAATACAGTCTGTGCTCAAAGAGAATACTGATCATATCTAATGGCTAGGAAGTGCTTTGTATTAATGCAGAATACCACACCGAAACGTCTGCTACGGTATAATAAATAAATGTTTTAACTCTGGCCTTGCTGTTATGGTGTCTCACACTGTGCTTCCATCCCGATTTTACATGCTGTTAATAATGAAGGACTGACTGCTTCTGTTTGGCAATCATTAATTTTTCAGCAAATCGGCCTATAATTAATGTCAGATTAATTTTTCCGTGAAAAGATATATTAGATTTTTTCCAAAGGGAGAGCACATACTGCAGAATTATGTATTCTGTTTAAGGGAGAAAGCTACATACTGTATCTACCAATTATATCTGATATTCTTTAATCATGACGGTATTCCAATACGAACTAATCTTCACCAGCTCCCACACTGAGCCACAGGTTACTGTGTGCAGGCTGCCTGTGGCCAGGGGGTTAGTGGAAAGGGCTTTTCAGTTAGCTCTCTCAAATTCTGTCAGGGAAAAAATACTAAACACACAGTTCAAATTCCCCCTTTTAAGAGAATGCTCACAACGAAAGAAAAGATCAAAGAATATTTTAGTACGTCTTCCAGTAACTCCAACAAACCAGCTAAGACTAGAAAGAGCACATGTGAACTGTGCACAGAATAAAGGTAAACATACAGACATGCTGTTTCTGAGCAGCACTCCTCATTAATTGGCTGGTAGTCTAAGGAGTTGATCTGCAAGGCCGCTAACCTGCGCTGGGTGGAGTTTGCCAACATGAACTGCGATTCATTAGAAGATACAAAAGCAAAGAATTGTTTATGACATTAGTTACAGTTTATAGTCTGCAGGTTCAGCTCACCCCTGCCTCTGTAAAAGCACAGAGAACACATGCTTTACTCCTTAACCCTACACAGCATCGCTTTGCACATAAGCACACACCCAAGATCCTGGAGAGCTGCTCATAACACACATTTCATCACCTGCAAAGCAGAAAAATTAAGGGCGAGAGATGTTGCCACATTTTATTCTCCTCACATTCTCCTCTTTGTTCTTTTTCAAATATATGATACTATGTAATAAGAACTATGTAATAAGAAGGTTGTAACATTATAATACCATTGTAATTACAAGGGTGTAAAAGAACTTTAACAGGGGTGCAAGGCAAAGTGCTCTGGATGTGGTACTGGGTCATGTCAAACTCTACCACTCACTTTAGGTCCAGAGGAAGTCCGAGCTTTCCAGGAAATATATGGAATTGTCCATCGGATCAAAACGTGATGTTGTGGAACTGTTAGTAGACGCAGGTGCTGGCTTTGGAATTACGGAATTGTCTGCAGTCTAAAGACGTGCGTCAGCCAGGGCAGAGAGAGAGGATGCAGCGAAGAGTCAGATTTGCTCTGACCTCAGAGACAGACAACATGTCTCGCTGCAGAGAAACTGGCAGCAGACTCGCTGAATCGCCCCTTCCATTGCAGGGCCCTGTAAATAACCTGTGAGGTGGGAACCGACAGTTATTGTCATGTGTTCATTTGCTGCTTTTTGATTTTCGTTTGTCAGAGAAAAGTAACGCTTTTGAGTAGAACGAGAGAATAAAGACTGTGGCTCAAAAGGAAAAATAGCTGAGAAAGTATATTCGGAGGTTTTCATACGGCTCCTGTTCAAGACGTGCGACTCTGGAGGTACAGAAGTTCTGCTCGTACTGTTTTCACAAAAGTTCAGACCAGTTCATTTAGCTCTTATAAAACAACCATACACATTTCACTCGTTTTTTATGAATTGAGGCTGGTTTTCACAGATTAGTGTTTTTTTTTAAAATATGGTTCTTAAGAAACAAATAACTTTGAAAATGATTTTTTTCATGCTGCAATAATTCTCCGTCATCACACTGTATGTGGAATAGAACTGAAATACATACATATCTTTACATTGAGAAAGTGCTACAGCAGGTTTTCACAAAGTTCATATTTTCAGCTGTCGATTCGAAATATTTCTTATTCTTCATTTCCCCTACGAGTGAGTTATTATTGAATCAGACCATACTGTAAGCACCTCTGCCAACCACGGACAGATTCATATAGCAAACTGCAAAAAAAATGGCTTTGGTGCCAATGGGGGACAGATAACCATAATTCTCAGCTAGACATATGGGGGCTCTGGAGAGCCGCAGACTGATGACCCCCCACCCCCGTCCCCCATTACCCATAATGAAATCCCCAGCCCTCCTCCCACCTGCTCTCAGCTGGCTGTGACCCTGGCCTGGCTCCCCCTGTCTGTTGGCACAGCCTGGACTGAAACCTGCTATCTCCTCCCTGTGTATAACTACAGTAGATTTCCAAAAACCGCTATAGAAAACTGCCATAACGCTTTTTAAACCTGTCAGACTTCCACAAAAGAGAATTATTAGTGTCCGGGCCGAAACAGGAGCTCCAGAAACTATGCATTATTGTTCAAGCCTCCTCAAGGCTGGAACTCAGCCTGCTCTGAGATCGCAGTGGAAAAGCTACCATTTCATTCCCACGCAGAGCTGTAATATACCTGTGAATAAACAAGACTGTGTCAAATGCCAAGGGAGACATCATTGCAACTGTTTGGTTTTTACTTCAACCCAACCCCTCAAAAAGACTCTATTTCTTTTCTTAGCTTTGTCCTGTTTAACTTCAGATATGAACTAGATTAGAGACCTATTTATCATGCAGTATCAGAGATTAAAACTCTATTTTTTGTTATTACTAAAGCCGTGACTTCATATCGCATTTGGGTTTTTTTTTAAAAAAAAAGCTAATAAAATATTTAGCTCTTTCTGTGGTCTTTCCTTTCGTTTTCACGATTACTGAAGTGCATAACCCTCTGTTTCCAGTCCTTCCCAAAAGCCCCCGCCCTTCTTTAATTTGTAAGATTAATCAATTGAGTAACTGTATGTTTTGTTAAAAGTGGACCAGTGTTTGTCGCATCATATCACGGGCAGTTCTGCTAGTGTTAATATATTTATTTCTCTGCCTACTCTGATTTTCTGTTGACTGTTTGGGGGTTTCTCTCAGAATGTTGATTTGTAACCTATCTATATTCACTGTACAATATTTACATTTCTTACGTGGCAATAAAGCGGAATACAGACCTTCTTTGGAATGGGCTGCCTGGTTTGTGCAAGGCGATGGTCTCCGATGCTCAAGCAGAAGATGATTTCATCTGCTATTATTGTAACTTCAGGTTTGTCTGCAACAGGGTTAATAAATGTGACATAACCAGTCCACAATCTGAGCCCATCCATGTGTTTTCCACTGTAAAAACCCAAACCTCCCGAGCTGCAGCAGACTTATCTCCTGTCCCTGAGAATTTGATCTTTACCATCGAAAATTCCACGGCTCTTACAAACCACTGAATATTCATACCCTCACTCTCACGGGTAAATCAGACCCAAAGCCTAATGATGCCTATAGCACATGAAAGTGCTGTCTGAAAAGTGCCCTTGTTTCAGAACAACCGAGCTCCAGAGAGGGCAGTGTGGTAGATGAAGACGTCTAAGATTTCTATCGTTCTTCCCTGAGATGAGGATTGCGAACCATCCCAGCTAGGCACATTGCAGAAGCTGAGACAACCAATGTGCAAGGCTTCTGTGGAAGAGCAGAGGAAGAATAAAATGTCTTACTACCCGCCAGTCCTACTGGTAATACGAGCACCGCACCCTGTGCCCGGATACTTTCCCTACCTTCCTCTACGACCCCTCTGTCCCTGAACTGTAGCTCTCAGCAGGCTTGAGGAGAAGAGTCCTCGCTGATCTCCTGCTTACAAGATCCAGTCAAACCTGGAACAACGGGAACCATGCTGCTTGAGAATGCGGGAACGATCCTGCCCTAGAATCCCAAGGGGTGCAGCGCCGATGGTTTGGTGCCTCCATAAGGCAGGAGGAATTACTGGCTTTTCATTCCCAGAAAACGAGGATCAGGTGAAATGTGCAGGGACTGAGCAAGCGTATCATAACGCTGTACACCTTTCTGAAATGGACATCAATACAGCAAGAGCATAAATATCAATCATAGCACACCCCCGAAAAAAAAAAACCTTTTGGGATGGATGAAGGTGGAAAGTGTGTTGAATGTGCTACAATATCACATTACAATTTCTGCTACAGCCTCAGCATGGCTTCTTAACACTGACTCCACTCTGACAGCACTGTTGGTGAAAAGGCTGTTCCAGTCACGACGCTCAGCTTAGGCGATTTGTCTTCACTTGGAGTGAATGGAGGGGATTCAATTTCCTTATTAAGAAGAAGCTGTTTAACATCCCCAAATAACTGTAAGTTCATTAGAGGAGGAAGCTCATTTTCTCCCTTCACCTACCAGTGGGTCAGGCTCTTGACGAGCGGGCCGGGTGGAAACGGACTTTCCCCAACAGTGATCACAGCCTGTGAATGAGGAGCGGTCACTCCCACAGAGTGGCCACACGCAGGCAGCGCGTGTGAGACATCGTTTGGCATAGGTCACGCCGCTGAGGGAACAGCAATCCGACCTCGAGGGCGAGGCTGACCGAACACCCCTCGCTTTCGACAGGAATGAGTCAGGGAGCTGTGGCAAGGGTGCAGGGCGACAGGAGGGGTGTGAGAGAAATGTCCAAAGGGAAGCTCAGGAAATATATATATATATAAGGTGAGATGCACTGTATATAAGTCTGCTAATGGAAGTATGTGAGATTAGGATCTGAATTCCCTCCTGAATGTATATTAAAAATCTCCACATGCAGTCAAACGCTTGCAATATTTGTAACATTGCCAGTCTTTCAAATGCAAAGTCAGGGACTGCAACCTGAAATCCATGTAACAGTTCGCACTGTTGCACTACACCGTAACCTTCCTTTTCCACCGACCCGGTGAGCGACAAGTCCCTATTCCTGTGTCTTGCCAAAAGTCGGATGCCTTTGCTTCCCTTCCAGTCTACGCAGCAAGCAGGGAGGGATTTTCAAAAGCTCCCGTCCTCACAGGCGGTTTTGATTCAAAAGCAGAGGCACCCCCGCGCTACAGTGCGCTTCAGACGGGGAGATGCCCCAAGCGTCCGACGCTGCTGGCTGCGAGGCCGGAGGCACTGCGCGCCAGTCGCGCCACCGGCCCGTCACCTTCCTTTGTGCCGCCTAGCGGGGAGGGAACATGGCACAGGAGAGGTCAAGCGCCCAGGTAAAGCTGGCAGGCTGTCGGCAATCAAGCTCCGCAGGTAGTGTGCCGGCCGACAGTGGGAAACCGGGCAAACGATGCCGGCCAGTTGGAAACCAGGACGCGGAGCAAACGCAGAAGGCGCGCCTCCGGCCCATTACTGATCACACGGGTGACGGCTTTTCACCAGCTCTGCTCCCCAAACGCGGCAGGGTCGCGTCGACCTAATAACGACGCAAGCGGAGTGAGCGTCAAGTGCGCTTGAGACGAATTCGCTGTGCCGGCGATCTGTCTGCAGGGCGGAGAGCCGGCCCAGATAGACCGAGGCGCCCCTGCGGCAAAGCTGGCGTGACTGCCGCCGTCCTCTCCCCCTCTCCAGTCTCTCCGCATCCACCGGCACCCGTTCCGACCGGACTGGCCGGGCACGGCGACGGGGCGCGCAGGCAGATCCGAGGGATGTGATTCGAAGCAGGCACATAGCCAATG